GACTCTGAGGATAAATGTATACTTTTATTTTATTTTTTATTTTTTAAAAGTTTTTGCCATAAGGCAAGTGCACTAGCCAGAGAGAAAGAATGATAAGAGGGGAAACAAGAAAGCACTCCCCGGGAGGATGATCACAGTGCAAGTTATTTTCCTACTGGTTTTCAGGGCATACACACATATGTGCCCAGTGTGATTTTCAAGCTGCTGAGTCTGGAACTTAAACTGTGGTCAGCCATGGGGGAGTCTTGCACTTTAATCATTTTTTAAAAATGGCAAATTCAGGGGAAACAGGTTTATGCAAAAGTAAAAGGTAAAAGTAGAGTACCATGTCAACCCACCATGTGAACTTAATATACTATGTGAACACATCGGCAATCAATTTATAATGTGCAAGGGAGCTTTGGAATTGATTCTGGAGTAATGTGCATAATGATGAGGGAGAGGAGAACTCTATGGGACTAAGCTGACTCAGAGATCCCTTTTCCATTTCCATTACAAACACATAAATATAACAACTTTTAAAAACATATAGTCAAACTCAGTTAAAAAAAAAGTCTTTATGTTTAAACAGAGAAAATATCATAACTATTCAGGTTAATGCTACAGTGGCACACTGGGTATAAATTCTAGTGGTTTGAAAATGAGACTTTAATGTTTATATGGAAAAAGATAAGTATTCTGTTAAGCATGGATTTGGAACTATTTTTTGGAGCCTAATAGAACTTTCTTGTGAATACAGTCACTGGAACCCATGTCAAGTATAGTTATGGATTATGATTTTATGACAAACAAGTATTTTTGAAACCCAAATAGAGAAATTAAGGTACAAATTTGTTCAGGAACTGGTAAAATCCACAAGTTAAGGTCAAAAGACAATCAGATCCCCTCAATTTAAGTAACTCAAGATTCTCTTGGAACTCCTACAGAAACTATAATAAACTCACCATGAAAAGGCACTCACAATAAAAACTATATACCACATGAGGAAATAAGCTACCTTTAGAGAAAAATAAGTAAAGGCAATGAGAAAACAGGAGAAACTTGTAAAAGAAAGTGCCAGAAGAATCTAAAAAATAGTTGTACATTAACTACTTAAAAGGTTTATAGATACAAAGGAAAACCATAATGAATAAACAGGTCTTTTCCTCTCTCCTCCAAAGAAAATAGAGTGAGGATTAAAAATATATTACTTCTGGAAATTAATGAACTGAGCTGCAGATTATATGCACTTGATGAAGGAAATAGTGAACAGGATGTGGGATTTGAGGAAATAGCAAGAATAATAAAGATAAATAAATAGAAATTTTGAAAGATAATAGGTAATTCTCAATACAATTTCCAGATGAAGAAAACAGAATATATTGATAGATTTGAGAAATATTTTTGAATAGCTAGTAATGAAAATTTTCCAGAATTTAAGCAAAGCATTAATGTTAATATTGAAGAAGTCTAGCAAGTCCTGAGATACCTAATAGTAAAATACAGCTTAGATAGATGACAAGCAGAAGGTTTTTAAAATTATTATTATTTTTTTTTAAGTTTTTGCTATAGGGCACCTGTGCTTTCCAGAATGGGGAGGCATGGGAAATGAGAAATCACCCACTAGGGTGATGGCTACAGTAGAATCCCTTCTTCTGCAGTGACTTCTCAGGATTTGGGGCATGCATGCACAAGTGACTAGTATGATTTCGTTTTTTTTTTTTTAGAGGGATTTTTTTGCTAAAGCTGTGTGCTCTCACTGGAGAGACCGAAAAACAGAAAGCAAGAAATCATCCCCAGGGAAGATAGCCATACCACAATCCCTTTCATCCATTTTCCTCTTGAGATTTTGAACACACAATGCACAAGCAACGAGTGTGAGTTTTAAGCCTCCTGGTTTGGGACTTAAACCACTGCTGACTATGCTGACTATGTGGGAGTCCAGTGACACAACCGTTATGCCATCTGCTGGTCCCAACCAGCATGATTTTTCAAGCTACCTGGTAGAGTCTCGAAATAGGCAACTGCTATGTGGGATCCAGCTCTCTTCACCTGCATACCACCTGCTGGCCCCAAGTCGATGATTCTAAAAACAGAGAAAAATGGGACCAGCAGTTAGCCTAATGGCTATGTCGCTGGACTCCCACATAGTTGACCGTGGTTTGCGTCCCGGACCCGGTGGCTTAAACTCACGCAGGGTGCGTGTGCGTGCGTGCCCAAGATCCCGAGAGGAAAATGGAGGAGAAAGGATTGCGGCATGGCCATCCCCTCTGGGGGGTGATTTCTCACTTTCACTATCTCTTTCTCTCTCTGTCTGGTGAGCGCACGCACCCTATAGCAAAAACCTCTCAAAAAAAAAAAAACAGAAAAATTAGATTACTATAAAGGAATTATAATTAAGCTGACTGATATATTCAAAATGCTGAGACAAAAATAACTGCTAACATAAAACCCTACCCAAAGTTAAAGTATTATTAAAGAATGAAAGTAAAATAAAGCAAAACTATTTGCTAACAAAATAGTCTGCAAAGTTCTACTCCTGAGACCAGCAGTTAGCGTAATGGCTATGTCGCTAGACTCCCATGTAGTCGACCCAGGTTCATGACCCGGACCCGGTGGCTTAAAACTCATGCCAGGCGTGTGTGCGTGCATGCCCAAGATCCTGAGAGCAGAATGGAGGAGAAGGGATTGCGGTGTGGCCATCCCCCCTGGGGGGTGATTTCTCGCTTTCTGGCAAGTGCATGCGCCCTATAGCAAAATCCTCTAAAAAAAAAGGTCTCCTCAGAGACCTTTGCTAAAAACTACTAAGGGATGTTGTTCAGTCAGGACACTGAACCATAAGTAAGGGATGAGATAAAAAAAGAAATGGAGAATATTAGTATCGCATTCCACAAGGAAATCAATCAGGCAATCCAGGTGAGGCAGTACTGCCCATGGTCGAATGATTTTTCAATCTTGACAGCCTGTTACTCAATTCTTGGTGTTTCTTTTCATTAATGGCATCTTAGAATCAAGAAAAACATAGTATTATTTCCTCTTGTGTTTTTGCCTTTGACTTTCTTCCAGTGTTTCCAGAGAGTTCTATTTCTGAATAACAAATCTGATCTGATCACTATCTTACCTAATAATTTTGAGCTCCTCAAAATAATTTTGAGTGGACTGAATGCCCAGACTTCTTGGCATGAAATTCAGTGGTCTTGCTACCTAACGCATTTCATATTCTCAGTCTCCCCAAATACTCAGTCTCCAACCACATTCCCCACCTCCTCTCCCTCATTTGACTTTCTTCATTCCTGACTGTCAGACACATGCATTATTTTAATACAAGTGTTGTAAAAATATCCAAGGAAACTGTAATAAAATGAGACCAGTGTTGAATTGAAAATAGCTAAAACAGGCTTTACCTAAAGCTTAATCATTTAAGATGGAAATGGATCATTGTCTTTGCCGGAAAGCCTTGACTTTATATATTAGAGTTACTGAAGAAGTTCAAAGAATATCTTTATTTGGAGCCTTTTTAGCACACTTGACACTTTTCTGTTTAGAATGATTTAGGTAAACCCATGAGAGAGAAACAAGATGAACTCTGAGGCATGTTCAGACCTGGGAGTTTATGGGTGATTAATGACTCTATATAAATGAGGCTGAAATGTCCAGAAAGGAATAAAGAGAGAAATTTAGTTAGTCTTCTTGTGTTCTCTATGTATGATTCCAGAGACCTGGATATTTAGCAGATGAATATATGTAATTATTTAAAGAAAGCTGTATATTTCACTGGCATTTTCTGCTTTGAATGCTAGTATACTGCTATATTATAAACAAGGTCACAAAATAGATACCTGCTATTTCATCTCTATATGCCTTCGAATAATATACATCAAGTCGTAATTATTAGAAAGACGAAGGCCTGAGTCTATGGTGCAGCAGAAATGTGCTGCTCATGAGAAGCCAGGTCCCACCTGACCATCACAGTTCACATCTGGCTAGGTCACCCTGGAACATTTTTGGCACATGCACAAATGCCCAAGATTTAATGGGCTGGAGGACAGGAGGACGGGGATCGCAGCATGACCAGACCTTCTGGAGGGAGCTTATCTCTCTCTCTGTCTCTCTCTATCACCCTTTCCTATATGCATGTACATGTGCTCTATCATAAAAAAAGGGAAAAAAATTAAAAGCTGAAAGTATGAGTTAGTTGATAATTCTCCAAAATTGTTTTTCTTTAGTCTAAAGATAAAACAATAATGAAAAAACAACATAGAGTATATTTTCTTGATGCATTTTTGACTCATCATTTTCATAAAATGGAAATTAAGAATTGGCTTATCTCCCATATGCTTATTTATATGGCTTTGTATTTTAAATTTAGGTATGTGTCATGTGTCCTGGGCTGTCCATATGAAGGAAGCATTCCTCCGCAAAAAGTAACAGAAGTAAGATACACCTCTAGCCTTTTTGGTTCATGGTAAAACAATATATATATTATTATTTTTTTTAAAGTGGGCTACTTTCCTTACTATTTATTGCATCTGTGTAACTGAGAATAAAGGGTCATGGAATGGGAGAATAACCTAAATACATATTTGATCTCTTAAGTAATCATTTCATTTTAATACTGAAGACCTATATATTTGCCATACCGTTTTGAAATTAAATGGCAGGTGAGCCTTTTTGTTTGGGTGCTCCACAGTGAAGGCAATAAAAACGTTGGTTTTGTCTTTATGTGCCTATAACGCAGAAGTGACCTCCTGACTTCCCACCAGAATGTCAGGGCAGTTGAAGTGCACAGACTTGAAATTTGCCAAGTTGGCTTAAGTGCAGTGTCTTTGAGATTAATATTAGACTGTCTGAAAAACTCATTTGTACATGAAGTAGATTAATATGCACTTGTTTTTAAAGGTCATTGATTTTGATAAATTTAATGATAGGGTTCCAAAGCAATGAAAATGCATTTAGGGAAAATCAAAATTTAGGCAGGATAAGCTTCCAATTCAACCCAAACTATTTATCTTTTGTGCATTCATTTGAACTTTTGAAATTTACTGTAGGTTTTCAAATGAGGGTTATTCCATCATCTACTATTTAAACAAGATCTTTGTACAAAGAGGCAATGAAACTTTGTTTTGTAGTTCTTCACTTGCATAGGACCCTTCCACAATATTTCATTAATATACATTTATAATTATATATGACTTTCTTAAAGAATACCTAAAAAAGGGTATAAATTCAGACCTCACTTGGGACCAGCAGTTGGCGTAATGGCTATGTCAACAGACTCCCATGTAGTCAACCGCAGTTTGAGTCCCAGACATGGTGGCTTAAACTCATGCTGGGCGCATGTGCGTGTGTACCCAAGATCCTGAGAGGAGAATGGAGGAGAAGGGATTGCAGCGTGACCATCCCCCCTGGGGGGTGATTTCTCACTTTCTGTCTCTGTCTCTCTAGTGTGTACACGCACTGTATAGCAAAAACCTCTCCATAAATAAATAAATAAATAAATTCAGGCCTCACAAAACCTAGATCCACCTATGCCTAACAGACTCCATACTTTTTTTTTGGGGGGGGGGAGGTTTTTGCTATAAGGCGCGTGTGCATGCCAGAGAGACAGAGAAATAGAAAGCGAGAACCGCCCCCCCTCCCCCCAACAGGGATGGCCATGCCACAATCCCTTTTCCTCCATTCTCCTCTTGGGATCTTGGGTACACACGCACATGCACCCAGCGTGAGTTTAAGCCACCGGGTCTGGGACTTGAACTGCCATAGACGATGTGGGAGTTCAGCGACATAGTCATTACGCTAACTGCTGGTTCCGGTGTTTTTCTGTCTTTTGCCACCACCATCTACTACATTTGTGGTCAGCTTACTCTTCTCTGAAATGATTTCAAACTCTGATCACTCTGTTCGAGTCCCTTGAACCCTCCTCTTATTCTCCCCCACCCGCCAGTCCCAATGTTTGCTTTCTCATTGCACCGTCTTTGCTTTTCATTTTCTCCCCTCTGGACACACTCTTTGCATTTTATATTTCAACTGCCTAGAGCCCACTAACCTTTTGATTTGATATTCTTGGAGCGTTCTTTTCAGACCCTTCCTTTTGACCCTCTTCAACCAGTTAGTGCTTTATCTCAGTTGTCATTTAGCCCATTCCTGATCGACAAATCAAGGTTAATCTTTATTACATGCTTTTAGAATCCTGTTCTTGTTTCAAAATTGTTACTTTAGTTTGGCTTATACATTTCTTAGAAGGATAGACTGAGGTCTGTTTTTATATGACTCCAGATTCTATAACAGTATGACCCATCATTTCAATATTGTTTCCCCATTATATCTTGGCACCTAGTAGAGTGCCTGGAATAAAATCGGCATTGGAGAAATACATGTTGACTAAATGAATAAGGGAGTACCATGTGCCAGATTTTGTGCAGAGTGACTTTATACGTTCTCATTTCATTTTTACAACAGATATCATCATTTTAGTTTTTAAAAGTAAAGTATGGGAGCCAGCAGATTACACAGTGGTTAAGGTGCTGCACTCAAACATGACTGACTGTGAATCAAGTCCTACATCCATGGACTTGAAATTCATGCTGGGCACATATGTGTGCATACCCCAGATCCCAGGAGGAGATGAAGGAGAAGGGATTGCAGCATGGCCCTCCCCCTGGGGGAGGTTGATTTATCACTTTCTTTCTCTGTCTCTCTCCAGTGAGTTCACTTGACCTGTAAGAAAAATCTCTCTCTAAAAATACATAATAAATAAATAAACAAACAAACAAACTAAGGATTAGAAAACATGCTAGGTTCAGGTGTTTTGTTTTTTGTTTAAAATAGATGAATTGTCTTCCCAGTATCACGTGACAAACATAAGTAGGAACTAAGATTTAAATCCAAGTGTCTCTGATTCCAGAACTTTATCCTTGTCAAAATACCATGCTGACTTCATGAAAATTCACATTGCTCTTTGCAAGTTAGTTTCTTAGCTTGGATAGACTTTATAATTTTAGTTTACACAAGTCCATCTATTTATAAGCTAGAAAACTTTGGCCAGAAATATTAAGTATTCTACCCATTGCCATGCTACTTGGTGACAGAGCTGAAACTGATATTGATATTTCCTGTCCCCTAACCTAATGCCTTGAGAAATACTATTTCCAGAATAAATCTATAATCCTTGTGTCTGATTAAAGTTTTGGAAAATGTAATCCTCTCATAATTAAAATTGTAGCTTATAATTTCATAATTGAACATAGGTACATATGACTCTAAAGCTAATTTGAATATTAGAAATATAATTGCAGTAATGTCATTTGTAGTTTTATATACTGCTGAGAATTTAATGAGTAAGCTGAAGGACCAGAAAACCAAAGTACATGGGGTCATCAAAAAGTTCATGGAAAATGTGTACTGTGAAAATATATACATGGACATCAATTTATTTTTTTGCAACAAAATAAACTTAGATTTTAATTGCATTTTCCCACAAACTTTCAGAAGTCCCCTTGTATATGTTTTTCATAAATTTAACTGATCTTCACTCTGATTTTTATCTATTGATGATGTTTGCTTAGGGACAAGAAATTTTGAGCCTTTTCACTTCCATTGTTTTACTAGAACTTCACCTTTTTCACTAGGTGTCTAAGAGATTGTATAGCATGGGCTGTTATGAGATCTCTCTGGGAGACACAATTGGAGTGGGTACTCCTGGAAGCATGAAAAGAATGCTGGAAAGTGTCATGAAAGAAATTCCACCAGGTGCTCTTGCTGTTCACTGTCATGACACGTATGGACAAGCCTTGGCAAATATTCTTACTGCTCTCCAGGTATGTCGTGATCTTTGTGCCTTTGTGTTAGAGTATGGATCCTTATTTGTAATATACTTGAAAGTTTTAATGTGATAATATTGTACTTATGAAATGTTATAAATATAATGGTAATATACTGCCTGCCACACAATAGGCACTCAGGAAGTGTTTGTAAATTTCACATGTGTTTAAGGAGTGGAGTTCTCTTATTACTATTAATTTAATTTGATAAAATCTATGAAGCTGCTCTTTATAAAGTCTTATTCCTCTTGGAGTTATATCTGCTTGATTCAACTTCCATATGCTCTCCACCATAAGATTTAACAGACTGAAATAAGATGGCATTTTGAGGAGTGCAAAACACAAACAGAATCGAGTATACTGTTGTAATCATGCAACTAATGTTCTTTTGGTAATTTGGTGCTTTATGATGGGATGATATGGTGCTGAAATAAGTATTATGTTGCTTTAATTGTTTCCCCAATGTTGGTAGGCTTACTTTTGGCAGAACCCCTGTTTTTTTTTTTTTTTCAAATATATTCTACTATATAATAAAAAGAAAAGAGCTAGAACATGGGAAGGATTGCTTATTAAATTCAGTGTTATTTTGAAAGCAGTTATTTAAAAATAATAGATATAAATAGCATGTATAAAGTGTTATTTTCTTAAATTCAGATAAAAATAGATTTGGGGGACCAGCAGTTAGCATAATGGCTATGTCGCTGGACTCCCATGTAGTCGACCACGGTTCGAGTCCCAGACCTGGTGGCTTAAACTCATGACAGGTGCGTGTGAATGCGTGCCCAACATCTTGAGAGGAGAATGGAAGAGAAGGGATTGTGGCGTGGCCGTCCTCCCTGGAGGGTGATTTCTCACTTTCCATCTCTCTCTGTCTTTCTGGTGAGTGCATGCGCCCTATAGCAAAAATCTCTCAAAAACAAAAACCAAAACCAAAAAAAAAAGAAAGAAAGAAAATAGATTTGGTTGATGTTCTTAGAATCCAAGATTTTGACAACTAAAGATAAGACTATACAAAAGCTTTTGGTGAGGCTGAAAATCAATATGTAAAGCTTAATGTCAAGCCCTAAAGTGTACAGTTGCTTGGCAGAAGTTAAAAACCAATGGGAAGATCAAGCTCCTCAAGGGCTTATTTCGACTTTGTAACATGTGTGCACAAAGCTTTATTTATCCTCTGGAAGCAAGCAAGGAACAATCTGTTGAATCAGAGAGAAGATAAAATGTTATTCCATAGTCTTTTGGGTGTGGGAATTTTTACAGTTTTCCTTCCCTAGGTATTCTAGTTTCTAAAACAATAGCGAATGAGGCATTACTTCAGGATTCTGTGTTCAGCTGCAACTGTAATGTGTTAGGTATTCCCGGGCAAGTTCGTGATGTGCCTTTCTATATCTTCTTTTCTATATTTCATGTTTCTCTATTTGGATGCATCTATTATGCTTTAACACCTTGAATAATATTTCATTGTGCCACATAGTTAGTATAGAATGCATAATAGTTTAATTTCTTCAGGATAAAGAGCTATAGTGCAAGGTCTGGGGACCCAAACTTTGCTTCCGGACTCTCTCCCTCTTGAAAATGCCCAAGTACAAAACACTACTGATAACCCACTGTGATTTTAATGAAGAAGGCCTATCTGAGGGAGTAATTGTAAAAATTTGATTTGAAGAATGAGAAGAAACTAACCCCGATTTGCGTTGTGCGTGTGTGTATCTGTGTTTGTGCATATGCATGTGCCTGAGTGTGAAAAGAATGTTTCAAGCTGACAAAACACCATTTAGGCAGAAGGCCCTGGGGAGAAGTGAAGATAATGTCCTAGGAACTGAAAGAAAACTAAGAGATTCAGAGGAGAAATTGAGGTTTATAAAATTTGCTAAAGTAGTTGAGTTGCAATGTCTCTATTTATACACGGATGAAATCTATAATCCTAGGCCAGTTGCTCATTCCGTACGGCTGTGCAGGGGGCCAGGAAACAATGCTGGGGCTAATCAAGATGGAAAACCTGGATGAGAATCTGTACAGGGTCAAGACTCTTCAAAAGATCATACCCTTAGTCAGAGGGTAAACCAGTAAAACCTCTACTTAAAAAATGAAAGGACAAGTATATTCATTTTTTTATGGCCTTGGCAGTGAGTAGAGGAGAAATGCAGTCTCCCTTTACACTTTATAACCTTTTATAGACCCTCATGTGAGCTAAGGGTTCAAGTTCACATTGCTTGAAGAATTGAGAAGATGCAAGCACATAAATTATCTTCCTATGTTTGTGGGCTAGTAGCACCCTCAGGTAAAAGAAGAATATATCTTCCATGAAGGAATACATCCTCAGCTTAAGCCAAACTGTTAGTATTTGGAATGCGTGTGTGCGTAGGGGTACATATTCTACCTTTCAGCAGCTTCTGTGGTAGGTAGTAGAAAAGTCGAAGCATCTGTAACTGTGTTTTCTGTTTCTTTCTTTTTATTGTTTTAAACGTATGTATAAGCTCTGTATTTATATGGGAGGCCAGGGGGCAGGAAGGAGAGGCAAGGAGCCTAGGAGAGCTATAGCATCCTTCAGCTTTGTGTTACGTGGCCCCAGAGCTGAATTTTACAGTCACAGTGTAACTAGGTGCATAAGAGGGTAGCAGTGGCTTGTGTAGTAACCACACGAAGTGAGGCCAGTGAGGCTACTAAAATGAACAATTGAGGAAATGTTCAAAAAGCTGAGGTGTGTAGAGGAAACTCAAACTTAGAATTAGAGAGCTTTTTGTCTGTTCTAACATCTTCTTCCGTATAGTTTGAAAAAAACATTGACAACATGACAAGAAAGCACATTTTCTTGAAGCTGTTTATAACTAAAACAATCTCTAAGTTTTTCGGAACTTAATACTTATTAAGGTCAACTAAATGTGATTCTGGAATGTCATCGCAAACACAAGCAGAGTCTGGTCCCAAGCAGCCCTCAGTAAGGTGGAAGTTCCCAGTGACCCTTTCTCATGCCCTGCCTCCCTTCACAATGGCAGTAACAGCAACAGAACTAGGTGTAGCTTTAGAGAAGAAAAACTGTCTTGTGAAAAAACCGTCCGTGTTTAAATCAGAGGAAAAGCAAAGTCCAAGTTCATTATGAACAGGACTAACCTTGGCTGCAGGAAGCAGTGGTCATACTTTATTTTTTTAAAAAGGGCATCTTTGAAGTGGCTTCTAGTAAAATTGGTGGTGGATGTGGAGTGGCTATCATTTGCTTTAATTTATGGGTGGAGAAACAGTTTACAGTGCTCCAAACTGGAAGTTAATATTAAAGCAAGAGACATGTAATAAGTGGAAACTTGGCCACAATGGTAGGAAACAACTGAGAGTTATAAATGGAACATCCCCCTCAGTCTGGAAAGTGCATACTAATCATGTAGTAGAGGGATCTTTCTTGGGTTCCCAGGTTTTATTGTATTTTTTTATTACTTAAACATATGACTTGTAGGACTAGAGATGGTTGTAGGGAA